AAAAATTCCAGATCTCTAACTCAATTTTAACATGGTTTTTAAGGCACCTGAATATGGCGATTTTGGGTTTTTTACCAAATTTCGTATAACAGTGCTGGCGAGTATTTTATGCAAATTTCTTAAAAATCTCAACATAACTATTTTTTATTCCTGTCATCTTTGACATCAAATTAGAACGTTTTGAACTTAAAATAAATCTGCTGAACGACTTCCGATGAGTCTTAATGCCTGAAAAACTCGTGCCGGAGGCGGCGGCCGCCTCCGGCCGGAGTGCACGCTTCGCGTGCACGAAAAAGGCTTCCAACGTGTACCAAAGGGGGTATAATAGTAAAGGGGGTATAATAGTAAAGGGGGTATAATAGTAAAGGGGGTACAATAGTAAAGGGGGTACATAGTATACCCCAAATAAAGACACCGCTCGTGCTTGCCAGCACTGTGATATATGTATCACGACAATCTATCGTAAAACAGGGGTTCTAGAAAACCCACTTCCCGATGCTCCTGAAACCTGAAACTTGTTTTGCAGTCGATTTGGTCAACGTCTAGACGCCCTGAAAAATTTCAGATCTCTAACTCAATTTTAACATGGTTTTTAAGGCACCTGAATATGGCGATTTCGGGTTTTTTACCGAATTTCGTATAACAGTGCTGGCGAGTATTTTATGCAAATTTCTTAAAAATCTCAACATAACTATTTTTTATTCCTGTCATCTTTGACATCAAATTAGAATGTTTTGAACTAAAAATAAATCTGCTGAACGACTTCCGATGAGTCTTAATGCCTGGAAAACTCCTGCCGGAGGCGGTGGCCTTCGGCGGCTTCGCGTGCACAAAAGAGGCTTGTAACGTGCACCAAAGGGGGTATAATAGTAAAGGGGCTATAATAGTAAATGGGGAACATAGTATACCCACAATAAATGCAACGGTGGTGCTTGCCAGCACTGTGATATATATAGTAGAGGCTCTTACGGGCAAAAAGACGTGTTTTCTGCTACGAGTTTAGAGACCTAACCGCTAATTGGACACAATAGTATGATGTCTAAGGATCGATAATATGTTAAGAAGTATAAATTTGGCCTTATTAGTCACGTGCTATACCAATGCGCGTTTTAAACTTTGACAGTCTATTACTCTAAGGCAAATAAAGTAATTATATCCATATTTTGTCAGCAATAAGATCACATTATTTTCTATTTAGTGTGAAAATATGAGCTAGAACGGACATAATCTCGCTGAGTTATAGCTGTTTGAAATTTATGATGAACGCGCGGGTGCCAATTGATAACAACTAAATGCTTTTGCGCGTAGTGCGCGTCGAAAATTTGGCAAAAACGCTTGCGGAGTGACAATATTCAAACTTCGATTAAGTATATGAAGTGGGTACTTCTCGGAAAGGAAAAATTTAGGCAAACACGATGTGACTATTTTTGGGTTGATTTAATACAACTGCAAAAAATTATTCAAACTTAAAGCAAAAAAGTCAAAATTTTTACCACTTTTTTGGATTTTTACCTCAGAACAAATAGAGGGATTTGTTTTATTTTTATACAATCTTGTGCGGCTGTCTTTTAGCTATCTTTATGCAAGTTTTGCCGACATGCCAACAAAATTAACTTGCTCAAAATATCAAAAAACATGGTTTTTTGGCCTATTTTTGGACCAAAAATCGGTTTTTTGCGATTTTACCCCAGAACAATCAGTCCAATCATCTTGAAACCACTTTCAATCGATTCTACGGTCAAAAATACGTCTAGTAAGGTGTATCTGGGGTCCCTAACGTATCGAGCAGACAATGCCCGTAAGAGCCTCTACTAATACTTCACGACAATCTGTTGTAAAACAGGGGTTCCAGAAAACCCACTTCCCGATACTCCTGAAACATGAAATTTTGTTTACAGTCGATTTGGATTTCTTAAAAACCTCCAAATAACTATTTCTTATTCCTGTCATCTTTAACATTGAATTAGAATGTTTTGTACTTAAATATACCTGCTGAACTACTTTCGATGAGTCTTAATGCCTGGAAAACAGTAAAGGGGATATAATAGTATAGGGGTAAATAGTATTGTGAATATAAAGGCAACAGTAATGCTTGCCAGCATTGTGATCCGTAATCAACCGTAATCAAGACCGAACCTCCCCCCCCTATACTACGTAAATATGAAGGGGTCACGACGTGATACAAGCTATTCAGGAGTTATTCAGCTTTGCATGCTCCTGTCTAATTCATTCCGGTTGGTCAACGCCCCAGTAATCTTGACTAAGTGTCTGAAACTTTAGAATCAAAAGTTGCTATCTAAAACTTAACTGATCCGTGCCAAATGGAAAGCTCCACGATCTGCAAACGAACTCATGACTTACTATCATTACCTCATCAAATTTATAGCGTTTGCATCATTTAATGTGCATTCTATAAAAGCACCCTTTTAATAACCTCAAGTTTTAAGCTGATCACTGTTCAGTTGTTCAATTACCGCTTAATTGTGCCAGATCAATTATGCTTGTTTAATATAATATCAAATGATGGAGTAGTTCGCTGTTTATTAGTCTCATGATTGAAAGACTGATAGTTGGATAATATCCGGTTGGAAGAGACAAGGACAAATCAAAAACAATTTGCCTATAGTACATTCCTAACTTCCTGTTTCATTTGTCCTTGTCCTCCAACCGGATATTATCCAACTGTCAGTATTTAATATAACTAGCAGGAACCCGCCGTAGAACCCTAAAATGGTGTCAAGACCCAAGAGACTAAAATAATTATTACCTATAGCTATTTAATTCGCGTTTTTGACACCACTTTGGGTACCAAATTTTGGGCTCTAAAACTCCTATTTCTTGGCAAATTTTTTATTTTTTATGTTGATTTGGTGGCTATTAAAGCATTTGACCCAGTCAAAAAAGTTTCAGTTGTATATCTTTTATGGTTTTTGCGGAAATTTGCGTTAAATTTGATGCCGTGGTGTCAGTAAAATGGCACGGATAACTATCGTCTCGCTTTATATATAGTCACCCGATCTTGAGGTGACGTACGACAATTCGTTAACCCAATCAATGTCTGGAAGGCTGCAAATTTTCACATGCTATAAACTCACAATGGTTTTTCGGAGTTGTGCGAGATGACGATACATAGAGGCTGCAGAATTATGAGGACTACCAGATCCTGGTGGAACCTAAGCGATCCATGATATCACGACAGGCCCTACAGTAAGAAATTTAAATCAAATCTTAATCATTTCCACGAAAATTTAATTACGATGAACGATCTTAGTTAAATATGCCTACAGAAATCACGGAAATTATATTTTTATACCTACACTCTGATCTCAATTGCAGCAAGATTTGATTAATCTGTTTTAAAAGTCATTAAAATACAATCATCTGATTACCGTCATTACGAGTGTTCATCAAACTGCACTAATTACATTTTCTTTAAATAATTCTGAATCGGAGGGCGTAAAAATTCTTAACATTATTTTATCAATACTGGGGGTGTCCGCTGCGTTCATTTGATTGTAGTTACCATCATCACTAGATTTAAAAGTTTTAATTTCAATCCCATTCTTGCCGCTATGGCAATCCCAATCCTTGTTAAGTTTATCAAGGCGAGCAGATTGGCTAATTTGGTCCATGTTTTTGTCAGCAGAGTTGGTAACTGAATCAAAGCTCTCCGCAGTGGATGAGCGGTTCCTCCTGGTGGTGGATCTAGCTTTGTTCCGTCGTGGTGTAGCAGTTGATTTCTGTCTACTGTAGCTATCTTCGCTGTTCCTGAAAAATCGTCAGTTATTTACAGCATTATTATGATCAAATAAAAGTCCTATTAAAACGAGGGACATTTAAAAACAACACCCGAGTCTAATTTTTCATTAAAATGGTAATTAATCCTCAGAAAATAGAGATTGATGAGCGAATGTAAATGTCTTACGAAAAGTGGAAACTGTCGTCATCCAGCGTGGAATCTCTAGTCACACTGTTCTTAACATACCTCGGTCTTAGTGCTGCATTCTCTGAATTCTGGATGGTAAGTATTTGGAATTACATTCAGAAGTCACCATTAAACCTTAAAACTACCAATAACTTTTTACAGAATGAAGTTTAGACAAATGGATACAAAGTTATCGAAAAAGAAAATCCTTGCAAGATTTTTGAGACACCCTCGTTTAAGTCCGTTCCTAGGAAGTTCAATCGGTACTCACTACTCAGGGGGTAAAGATACAGTTAAACTGCGAAGGCACAACACCAACCCTACTCTATCTCCCAAAAACAACCTTCTCCTGGTCGGCCATGTCCCTCATCCTGCACTTGACCCCCGCAGAGGTCACAAGCCCATCGGAGCCAGATGAGCAAGAAACGGGGAAGCCTTAGCTACCGGGCCAAGGACTGCATCACTAGCAGCGAAATACGGATATACCCTCCCTTTTACATGCGTTCAACCGGCACCCGAACCACACGCTGTTTCTTAGACATAACTTCCCACTTACATCAGTGTCTTCTCGCATCAACTGGCATCGGCAAGTGGCGACACTGTGTAGACTCAACCCTGAGCTACTTTGAGAGATTTAGAAAAATTTTGGTGGGCACGTCCCCGGCACCCGGAAATTACAGCTTCGAAAAGTACCATATATTTGTAATAAAAATGTAAGGAATATAAATTCTATGGGTAGGACGTGAAATTAACTTTAAGAGGAGAAATAGGATACAAATTGAATCATATAATCAAGTTTTCAGTGTTATTGTTTGGAAACGCGTAGCATATTCCTACGTGATCGTGTTTATGAGAAATAATACCGATTATGCATAATCTGATTTAGATATCTAGAAAAAAACTTTTTCTTCTTACAAGGTCCTTGGTTTATTCTGCTTTTGACGATATTTCAGTTTGAACTTTGAATAGTGCTGCCGTATTACTGCTGCGTTAATAAATAGTATTATAAATATGTATTGCAAATTGCAATTTTATTTCTAAAAGGTTCTTTAAGATGTTACTCTCAAATATTACAGAAAGCTCGACATTCGATCCAACACCTGCAAAACTACAAAAATTAAAGAGTTATGAATGGTCCTCCCCCTTTCGGAAAGCACGACATATTCCCAAACCAAGTTTATAACAACATTGCAGTGCCTCCAAACTGCCCACCTGAAAGATGTGCTGCTCTCCATACTGAGGCTTTTACACCTCGACCTGACGACATTGTGGTGTCCACATTCGCCAAAAGTGGCACCACTTGGCTCCAAAACATGGTGTACAATCTTGTGGGTTGCCCCAACGGACCCATAGTCCGGATTACTGAGACAGTTCCTTGGTTACAGGATTCATGGTCAGTAAAGTTGGAGGATATTGAGAAGATGAAGGGACCCCGAGTGTTCAAGACTCATGATTACTGGAGCTGGATGCCGGAGAAGTTGAGGGATACAGCTCGTTTTATTTACTGCTCCAGAAATCCTAAAGACCAAGCCGTGTCATACTTTCATCACATGAAAACTCTGGAGAAAATCTATGGTAAAATATGTGCTGAGATGACATTCAATGAGTATTTTGATCAGATTTACACCAAAAAAGATGTGGCCGAATTTGGTATGTGGGAAGATCACAATATAGAATGGCTCGAACAGTCAGCTAGAAAAAACATCCTGTTTGTAACTTATGAAGATCTGAGGGAAGACACTGAAAGGGAGTTAAGAAAAATGATAGAATTTCTGGGTCTATCTGTGGACGAGGAAATAATTGCCGAGACTCTCAAACAGGGTGGGTTTAAGCACATGCAAAAGAGCAGCAATCTGAACTACTCTTGGGCTACTGAAGGTTCGAAGACAGGATTGGTACGAAAAGGTCAGGTTGGAGGGTGGGCCGAATATTTGAGAGAAAAGCAATCTGCTTATTTTGATGGACCAATTAAAAGGGTTATTGAAGCTGGTGGTAACGTGAGGTGTAACCTCTAAGAGTTATAAACTCGAGAATTTATGTACATCGAATCTTTGCATGGCAAATGATCTGCAACTTGATCAGAACATATTGTTTTACAAAATTATACATGAAGTATGAAGTAATGTGGTATAAATTAAAAATTCCCAACAGTTGTGTTTTTATGTTATCGATAATATTGTGTCTTTTAAGGGTAAGTTGAAGAACTATTTCAATTTGTATGATCAGTTATAGCCTGGTTAGGCTATTTCTAGTGGCTATGTCTTTTTTTGGATATTTTTTTGAGTATCCATTTTTTGTTTTTTGGTTTTAAACCAATGTGTCAATAAAATCAATTATATTGTATGTATACTTACGTATACCATTTTTTGCGACAGTTAATCTGATATTTATCTCTAGAAACACACTTTTTTAGAGATTTTACCGGCGTATCCTCTAAAAAGAAAATCATCTAATTTGTTCAATCTTAGGGAGAGGCGCCAACAGGCAAAATATGGGAGTGGCCGGAAGGTATAAGCTGAGTTGGAACTTGAAATTAATTTTTGTGGTGAATGAATCTAGGTAGCAACGGATAAAGACTCCCCAAAAATTATTCATTAACATGTTGAAATTATGAACCTGTCATGTGGTCACCGTCCTGTAAAACTAAAAGTGTTATCTGCAGCTGGGGGTGAAATAAAACCCTACGTGAGTGATCTGAAAGTGAACTGGTACACACTACACACCTAGCAGGTCGTAAAAATTATCGATACCGCAGAAATCAAATTACATTTTCCTGTAATATATATACAATATAATGACGAACACTTGTAAAACACATGTTATTGGGTTACAACGTTGAGTTTTGTGAACTGTGAGTGCGGAGCAGCGAAGGAGTCTTTATCATTGACACCATAGCAACGTTTGGCCACCTTATACATCCAAACCCAATAACTTATTTCCTACGATCTTGTTGCCTTTGGCTGACTCCAGTTATATCACGTTTAGATTTTTCCTTTCTAGTTTATGTGTATGTTACAAAATACAATTCTATTTCCACGTTTGGTAGTGAAGGTAACGATTTATTTTTTTAATTGTTCTTTTTACAAGGTTTTTAGTTTATCTTACTTTTAACACTTCATACGATGTTTTAGTTTGAACTTTGAGTGCTGCCGCAGCACTGCTGCGTAATTATTACTAGCAGGAACCCGTCTAACTCTAAAGTGGTGTCACTGTCAAGACTCAAGAGACTTAAATAATTAGTACCTATTTAATTCGCTTTTTTGACACCACTTGGGGTCCATATTTTGGGCACTAAAATTCTTATTCCTTGGCCTATTTTTATTTTTTCATGCTGATTTGAAGGCCATTAAATCTAAAGCATTTGAACCAGTCAAAAAAGTTTAAGTTGTATATCTTTTACAGTTTTTGCGGGAAGTCGTGTTAAAGTTGATGCCGTGGTGTCAGTAAAATGATACGGATATATATACATATATAATATATATCGATACCCGCCATCAGCAAAACCAACCCTGATGATTTGAGCCATACTGATGAGTCCCAATAAAACGAAAAACTGTGTCTATGGATAAATATGCTCGCCTAGTTTACTAAGCTTGAGCACTCTAGGGAATGAATAGATCTATACCGCTCAGCTTAAATGCAAAGCTCCTAACTCGTATTGAGTTTGTAGAGCAGTCTGGTACCTATGTAATTCCCTAATCATTAATGGCTTAGTGGCTCAGTGGCGTGGTTCCGGGCCAGTAATCGTAACGTTGCTGGATCGATACCCGCCATCAGCAAAACCAACCCTGATGATTTGAGCCATACTGATGAGTCCTAATAGGACGAAACACTGTGTCTATGGATATATTATATATATATATATTCTAAACAAGTTTTCCCTATAACTAAGTATATATCTTGTCAGAGTTATAACCTCATTTATTTAATGGAGTGTAAGACTTGTAAACAGTCGTATGTCGGTTATACTACCTCAAATCTCCCTAAGAGATTCTCTAACCAAAAGAGTCACATAAAGAAAGGTATAAGAAGTTGTAAATTAGTTAACCATTTTTTAGATATTGATCATGATTTAGATTTTAGTACCATAGCCTGCTATAATTCCTCACTTAGTAAGCACCTTTCTGTCATTATAGTAGACGCTTTAGTATTTGAGCCTAATATTAGTAAAGCAGACAAAGAAAAGGCTATGGAAGCTAGAGAGGGGTTCTACCAGACCCAATTGAAAACCCTTGAACGGTTTGGGGGTATGAACACCCTTGATAGTAACCATCTACTTTTTAAATCTGCCGGAGCTTAGTTTTAGTTTTAGTATATTTTGTAGATTTTATTTAGTTATACCATTATTCCAGAGACGTGCATATTACATTTTTTACTTAAGTATAAATTTTACAGGTTTTTGTTGTGATTTTAAGTAATTTTCCGAGAATCAGTTATCAGTATTTAGATAAGAGATAAGATAAGAGTACATTTTTAACGGCTTTCAGTTTCTTTTTTAAATTTCAGTTCATCAGATTTTCCCACTGCTTTTAGTTTGTATTTATTCTCAATTGTATATGATTCGTATTTGTTGTAGTTACTTTAATGATATAATTTCTCAGAATTGATGTAAATAAACGATGCAAAGACTTTCGAAGATCTAATCACAACCGCTTTTTTTTATTGTGTAGAAGTCCAGCCATGAAATATATATATATATATATATATATATATATATGTATATTGTCAGTCAGCCACAACTGTCAGTAAAACAACGCCTTGAATTCAAATGTCGGTAAAATGTACCTTTACAGTCATCCTCAAATTATTTGTTATATAGTAGTGTTGAAAGTATTAAAACTGTATAAATATATATATATTGGTATTGTTTTATACATATCATGAAACGGATCGTTTGCCCGCCAATTTGATTTGTTTCAATTGTTCGAATTATGTATATATATACATATTATACTGTCTCGCTTTATATATTAATATGGTAAGATTGTAAATTTGCATTGCAATTTAATTTCTGAAAAGTTCATTCTAAAATATTACAGAAAGCTCGATAAGTTGATATCATATTCGATCCAACATCTGTAAAACTACAAAAATTAAAGAGTTATGAATGATCCTCCCCCTTTTGGAAAGCACGACATATTCCCAAACCAAGTTTATAACAACATTGCAGTGCCTCCATTCTGCCCACCTGAAAGATATGCTGCTCTCCACACTGAGGCTTTTACACCTCGACCTGACGACATTGTGGTGTCCACATTCGCCAAAAGTGGCACCACTTGGCTCCAAAACATGGTGTACAATCTTGTGGGTTGCCCCAACGGACCCATAGTCCGGATTACTGAGACAGTTCCTTGGTTACAGGATTCATGGTCAGTAAAGTTGGAGGATATTGAGAATATGAAGGGACCCCGAGTGTTCAAGACTCATGATTACTGGAGCTGGATGCCGGAGAAGTTGAGGGATACAGCTCGTTTTATTTACTGCTCCAGAAATCCTAAAGACCAAGCCGTGTCATACTTTCATCACATGAAAACTCTGGAGAAAATCTATGGTAAAATATGTGCTGAGATGACATTCAATGAGTATTTTGATCAGATTTACACCAAAAAAGATGTGGCCGAATTTGGAATGTGGGAAGATCACAATATAGAATGGCTCGAACAGTCAGCTAGAAAAAACATCCTGTTTGTAACTTATGAAGATCTGAGGGAAGACACTGAAAGGGAATTAAGAAAAATGGTAGAATTTCTGGGTCTATCTGTGGACGAGGAAAGAATTGCCGAGACTCTCAAACAGGGTGGGTTTAAGCACATGCAAAAGAGCAGCAATCTGAACTACTCTTGGGCTACTGAAGGTTCGAAGACAGGATTGGTACGAAAAGGTCAGTTTGGAGGGTGGGCCGAATATTTGAGTGAAGAGCAATCTGCTTATTTTGATGGACCAATTAAAAGGGTTATTGAAGCTGGTGGTAACGTGAGGTGTAACCTCTAAGAGTTATAAACTCGAGAATTTATGCACATCGAATCTTTGCATGGCAAATGATCTGCAACTTGATCAGAACATATAGTTTTACAAAATTATACATGAAGTATGAAGTAATGTGGTAAAAATTAGAAATTCCCAACAGTTGTGTTTTTATGTTATCGATAATATTGTGTCTTTTAAGGATAAGTTGAAGAACTATTTCAATTTGTATGATCAGTTATAGCCTGGTTAGGCTATTTCTAGTGGCTATGTCTTTTTTGCATATTTTTTTGAGTATTCATTTTCTGTTTTTTGGTTTTAAACCAATGTGTCAATAAAATCAATTATATTGTATGTATACTTATACCATTTTTTGCGACAGTTAATTTGATATTATCTCTTTAACATTATTTAGTATTTTTTTGATTTTATAAGACCCGTGTTTTGATTTTAATTTTCTGGTCCGATGAAGAGAAAAAGTTTTTTTGAGGAGAGCCGCTCAGACATGGGGCTGGGCACCGTATTGACATTGTGTAAATTATTTAGTTATATTTAATACAATATTTTAGGGGGGGGGGGGGGGGGGGCGCCAAATGTGGGACAATTTGGAAAAACTTAACTACGGTACTACTAGTACTACTAGAAAAACTGCGCGTTTGCTCTAGAAACACACTTTTTTAGAGATTTTACCGGCGTATCCTCTAAAAAGAAAATCATCTAATTTGTTCAATCTTAGGGAGAGGCACCATCAGGGAAAAATATGGGAGTGGCCGGAAGGTAGCTGAGTTGGAACTTGAAATTAATTTTGGTGGTGAATGAATCTAGGTAGCAACGGATAAAAACTCCCCAAAAATCATTCATTAACATGTTGAAATTATGAACCTCATGTCATGTGGTCACAGTCCTGTAAAACTAAAAGTGTTATCTGCAGCTGGGGGTGAAATAAAACCATACGTGAGTGATCTGAAAGTGAACTGGTACACACCGAGCAGGTCGTAAAAATTATCGATACCGCAGAAATCAAATTACATTTTCCTGTAATGACGAACACTTGTAAAACACATGTTATTGGGTTACAACGTTGAGTTTTGTGAACTGTGAGTGCGGAGCAGCGA